AGATGCAGATGAAAACAACACTGAGATTCCACCTCACCCCACAAAGAATGGCTGCTATCAAGAAATCACACAATAACAAATGTTGGCGGGGTTGTGGGGAGAAAGGAACCCTTCTCCATTGTTGGTGGGAGTGCAGACTAGTGCAACCACTATGGAAATCAATATGGAGATACCTCAAAGAGCTTGGACTGGAGGTTCCATTTGACCCAGCCATCCCTCTGCTGGGTATCTTTCCAAGAGAACTAAAAGAATCATATCACAGAGAAGTATGTGCACCCATGTTTATAGCAGCACAGTTTGTAATAGCTAAATCTTGGAAACAGCCTATTTCCCCATCCGTTGGAAACTGGATAAAGATGATGTGGTTTTTCTATAAAATGGAATATTACTCAGCCATAAAGAATGAGAAAATAGATTCATTCATAGGAAAATGGATACATATTGAAGATATACTCCTAAGTGAAATAAATAAGTCCCACATGTGTAAATACCGAATAGTTTCCCTGGTGTGAATAATCTGCAACAATGCATAAGATTCTAATAATATTACTGACATTTAGAAATGGGAAGAAAGGAGCTAAAGGTGTAGGGAAGGTGGGATGGGTAGGGGAAGAGTAAAAAGGGAAAAGAAAAAAGTGTGAGAGAATGAAAAGATGAAAATAAAGTGTTTGTAGATGGGGAGGGGAGGACGGGGTGAAGGGAGGGCAGAGGTAAGGGGAAAAAATGAGAATCAAGACTTGTCATGTAGAGGTACATGCCACGACCACTCCAGTGGAGTCTGCGTGACAATGCCGCTCACCTGGCAGAAACCAGACCAGAGGTATCGTCCCCACGGGGTTAAGCCTCCTGGAGGTCCTTGGCACACACCGCATGCAAAGTCAGCCGTGAAGAGAATAGCTGGCCTCTCTGCCTGCAGTTTGGGGACATTGGGTTCATTTGTAATTCTGTTCTATTTTGTCTTTATTACTATTTGTTCATTATCTGTAGAATTGTATTCTGGGCCCAGGAAAGGTTAGGAACAATTAGATGTTCCTAGAGATGTGGAGATATTGAGCCACAAGAGGACGGGTGGCCAAAGTGCTGACCCTGCGCCCCGGACTGTGAAGTCCTGAAGGTGAACCTGAAGGTGACATGCTGAAGCCAGTCCTTTGTTTTACAAACTTCCCCTTCTGAATGCGTATAGGTGTGGTCTTACCTTGACTTAATGGTCTTAGCTTTTGTGATGGTATATAGGTGTGGTCTTA